AAACGTTTTAGACAAAAGCTGTAAGGTTTAAAAAGACACATTCAATGGTAATATCCGTTTGATCTTGGGTGGCCAAGGTCAGGTCAAGGTCTATCTGATATTTGTAAATAGAATTCCCTACTTTTTATTACATATTCTTGTAGCTTACCTCGAGAGCTTTTCAAAACACTATAACGAAGTTTTTTTCGTTAAGTACTTTCCGAGTTATGAAGCACGAAGGTTGCAGTACCGCCGACATTAGCATTACCCAAGATGTACCGCGTTGCACGGTCGGATTTACATCTCGTGTGTACGTGTGTATGTGCGTGCGTATGTTAAAAAGTGAGTGAGTGAACGATTGACTGAGTATGCGTCTACAAATATAAATGTTCGAATTGTTGGCCTTCTTCAACTTGACATTGAAGCAATCGATCATGAAAGTTCCTACTAACATTTCCCAATGTTTCGGAGATAATTAATGCTACTTTAGTAGTAATTCTGTGTCACAAATCATCCAAATTTTGAGGTTTTGTTTTGTAAACGCGATCTTTTAAATAATCCCAAAAGAAAAAATCCAAGATATTCATGTCAGGTGATCGGGGTGGCCATTCGATTGGTCCCTTCTTTCCTATCCATCTTTCAGGAAAAGTGTCGTTTAAAAACTGTCGTACCTGCAATCTAAAATGTGGAGGGGCATCATCCTGCTGAAACCAAACTGTATTAAAATTTAAACCGAAAATATTGCGAATAGCAGGAATAATATCGTTTCGAAGCATGGCAGCATAAGACAGCATATAACGGCTTTCAGCCGTTAGAGTTCCATCAATGAAGAATGGCCATATTATGTGCGTTCCAACTATTCCTGCCCATACATAAATTTTTGTGGATATTGATTGATACAGTTTGGTTACGATCGGTCGGCTAAGTGTGTACCGCCGGGTACAGTGTCAAATTGAAGAAGGTCAACAATTCAAACATTTATATTTGTAGACGTATACTCATTCAATTGTTCACTCACTCACTTTTTTACACACGCACACACGCACGCATACACGATATGTAAATTCAATCATGCAACCTCCACGCGGTACATCTTGGGTAATGCTAATATCGGCGGTACTGCAACCTTCGTGCCTCAACTCGGAAAGTACTTAACAAAAACAACTTTGTTATAATGTTTTGGAAGGCTTTCGAGGTAAGCTACAAGAATATGTAATAAAAAGTAGGGGATTCCATTTACAAATATCAGGTTGACCTTGATCTGACCTTGGCAACGCCATCCAAAGTCAAGCGGATATTACCGTTGCATGCCTCTTTTTAAACCTTATAGCTTTTGTCAAATGTTTTTTTCTAAAATTCATTTTTAAGAGATAATTGAGTGTTTCCAGACTTTTGCCACACCCTGTATATATTATTCTATTATATATACTATTTCTAATAACACCAATAACTAACAGAATAATTATTAATATCTTTATTTATACCAAATTTTCCAAAAGTAACGGACCCCCTTCCACCTATCTCAGAATTTATGCATTATAGGGAAAAATGATCCGAATAAAAGTTTTAGGGTTCATAAAGTTCTGTTTTTTCTCACTTCAAATTTGATCTTGACTTCTTTGAAGGTCATTTGAAGATCAATTTGCGTTTTTTAAATGGGATCCCCTATTTTTTATTATACTATTTTTTTACCAATTAATTTGAACAACTTGTCTAAAAATTTTTTTTTATTTGCCTAATATTTTTCGAGATATTTGAGGAAAACTTGATAACTTTTTCAATATTTAACTTACGATATCTCACGAACTATTCGTCGGAAAAAAGTGGTACTAAACTTTCTTGCTTTATTTAGTCTCAAGAATATATTGTTACAATATCATCCTGACTTTTGTTAACTTACTGACTTTTGGAAATTTCAAAATCATTTTTTTTTTTACGATGGGAAAATCCATCATGGATACCCCCCGCCTCTTGGGAGGGGGGTTATGTCAGACTCCTACTGATTAAAACATCACCGGGGTGCCTACCAGTTGGGCCAGAGTGCGAGAGTCGTGAGAACTACGTCAACATTCTCTTCCCGACACCGGCCCTGAGACTCTCCAGGAGCCCAATTGCTGCACCCCTCCTTGGGAATGGGTGCGGCGCCTCGACCGGTTTCCCGATCGGGTTGGCTTCTTGGTCTCAATCATGGAGAGAGGGGACACAGAATAATTGTTAATATCTTTATTTATACCAAATGGAGACACCCACCCTTTCTCTTAGCCCCTCCCTCCATTTGAGGGGGCGGAGAGTGGGACCCGGTCCCAACCAGGTTACACACTCCTCTTGTCCGCCCCTTACCGACGCGCGGGGGGCCTTTGCCCCTCCTCCCCGGCAGCGTGCGGTGGCGAGTTCTGGAGGGGGGGGCGGAGTAGCCTCCTCTTTTTCGGAGGAGGAGGCTGATCTTCGCCCGACGTTCCCCCAGAGTCGCTATTCCCCCCTGGCGCGCGCCGCCGCCTCCGCCGTGAGATTCGGCGGGGACGATGATGCAGCTCAGCGGTCTCCTTCCGAGACATCACGTCCTCGACGAAGAAGACCGTTGCCTCTTAGACCTGCTCCCTCCCCACCATTGCTCCTACAAGGGGGGGGGAGGGGTCCGAGTTCCGTCGACCGATTGCCCGGTGGAGGTCACAGCGTTGCTGGTCTCACGCTGGACAAAACTCCAGCGTGTACTGCGCCGTTTCCTGCAATGCCGGGCAATGGTGGCATTGCTCCGTGGATTTCTTCCGGATTATATACAGGTACCGGCCGAAGCACCCGTGCCCCGTCAGCATCTGCACCATCCGGAAGGGTCCGCGTCCCCTCCTGTCTGCCAGACAGGGACGGACGGCTTCGGCCGTGTGGAGACCGGGCACCCGAGGGTCGTGCAGCATCTGCTGCCACTGTTCGAGCACCTGGTCTTTGGCCTGAGACCTCAGGGCCACCACCTCCCTGACCGTTATCACTTCTCCATCACCGCGGAGCTCCTTGACTCGCCAAAACACCTGATGGCGTTCACGCACCAGGAGCTCCACGGGGGGAGGTCGGCCAGGGCCGTCGCCTCCATGTAGGACGTGGTCCTATACGCTCGGATCGCCCTGATGAGTACCGGCCGCAACATTTACCAAAGCAGGCGTTTGTAGCGGTCGGCGCCCATATGGGCGCCCCGTACAAGGCGACCGAGACGACCACTTCCTTTATCGGGATAAAAAAATGGTACCAGACTTTTCTATTCTACTTGGTCTCAAGAATATATTGTTACATATAGCGCCCTGATTTTTGTTAATTTGATGATTTTTAAATTTCGAAAGATCTATAAATGAACAAAAAATAGAGCATTATTGTACCAATATATTCTTGAAATCAAATAGAATAGAAAAGTCTAGTACCATTTTTTATCCCAACAAACAGTTAGCGAGATATTGTAAATTAAATATTGAAAAAGTTACCAAGTTATCCTTAAATATCGCAAAAAATATTACACAAATAAAAAATGTTTCAGACAAAAGTTGTTCAAATTAATTGGTGGAAAAAGACGATGTAATAAGAAATTGGAGTTTCCATTTAAGATTTTTATGTCAACCTTGATAACGTTTCTCAAGGTCATTCTAAGGTCAAACTATCAATATCTGATAGGTTTTTTTAAGTCCTACAACTTTTGTTTGAAATACTGTTTTAAACAATCATTATTTTTTTAAATAATTAGCCGTTCTGGAACTTTTAGCAGACCCTGTATAATATTGTTATATAATAATGTATTACTATATTTTATAATATTTCTATAATATTTTTAATATTTTTATTATTTTTTATAGGACAAAAATATAATGCACACATATACAATAATATCTGTTTTATTATATAAAAAATAACAAGGATAATTTTAATTATTTATTATAAAATTCAGACATTGCCGTACAATATTGTGAATGAAAATTCACATAAAAGCATGTAAAACACAATTAAGTAGCACACCATGAACATTTTATAAAAGAATTATTTGTTTTGCAAAAACATTTTACGTTATGTATGTTTGAAGGGAAACATAACTGATTAACATTTGAAAATACGTCGCGTTCACGTAATCGTGAAATTATCTGTGGCTGTTTCTTGTAACGAAATAAGAACGTGTTATATTGTGTTGTGTTGTTGATGGCGATTGATAATCCCTGGGAGAAACACATGTTTATTTATGTATTTTTTTCAAGGCTTGGCAATCACCAAACAAACATTCATCGATCGATCGTAATTAATTATGGTTACTTCTTTTCTCTTTTTATTTCAAATGTGTGAATGAAAAAAAAACGATCGGAAGAAAAAGACAGAGAGGCAGAACTTGTTTTCATTTGTGTATACGTTTCCAACATTATTGCCAGTTATAAAAATCTTTCCTATTATAACACATAGTAGAGATCTTTATATTGGCAATTTATATTGGAACGCAGCTGGTATAGCGAACAGCTGATTGCAGCAGGCACCCCACATTATCGCCCGCGTCTCACGATGAGTTACGCCGTCTCTGCCTACCTTCTGTATCCGACCAGTAATAAGATAACTATTTTTGACAATAACTTAAAAAATAAACTTTAGACAGAGTTTTACAAGAGGAGAAAGTGTCTTAGAATTTTCTCAGGTAGTTTTATTTTTAAAGGGTTGTTCTGAATCATCCTGTGTATCTATAATGGAACTTGAATTTACCATATTGAATCCGATATTTTGAAATTTGAAATATCGATCCTGGAAAGATCACCAGTGAACCGGTTAGAAGACCGATTGAACACGTATAAAAAAATTTGTATCTTTTATTTAGTCTAGATTACTATGTATTTCAAGCTCATTAAAGTCAGAAGGAGACACTTTTATATGTATATTTTCTTGTTAGCATAATGAGTATTACCTATTCTGTAGATATTTTCTTTTGAATATTCTGTATATGTAAACCTATTAAATATTTCTTTTAGAATGTTTTCTAAACGAAAACCTTATTACTATTTTATTTTTAGGAAGCATATATGTGCAAAAGATGGAGAATAAATACCTAACAACAGATGGCATGTATGATGCTTCTACATCAGAAGATATACGTCAATTTGAAAATTTTTTTATGTTTATGTCTACGATGCAAGGCTTTGTATCAATACGTCACAAAGAAGAAGGTAAATAATAATAAACACTTTAGTATATTGATTGATTCTTTATCCAAATAAAATTATAATATACACTAGTACTGGGAATTAAGTGAGCAGCACGAGCCGATTTCAAAGGCAACGCCCACGCTTCCTTCACTACCTTTAGAAGCGCGGCGGCCGAGCCTCCGATCGCGCGTGAGACATTCTGCCTCAGGAACGGTCTCATATACGATATAAGATGGGATCGCACCCTCCGTTAAACCAAAAATAAAATATTTATTTATCCTTAAAAAATAATTCTTACTCTCATTAATGATGAAATATTACGCTTTTATTTCTGATATAATAAATTCTCTTTAATAATAATATAGTGATGACAATAATTAAGAATATAATTATTAAAGTTTTGTTAATAAATTTCCACATCACCCATGAGGTACTATTGTTGATGCGTTTTTTTTTAAGTGGTTTCCCCAGTAGGCCTACTCCACTACAAATTAATGAAGATGAAATATACGACTCAGCAGGAAAGCGAAATGCTACATTGTGAGAAATATAAAAACGAAAGAGGAAGAATAAGTACAGAGCGCAAAATGGCCAATTTTTATAGAAATATTAATTAGATTTTCTTGCTTGTTTATATGTCGATTTTACTAAGAATGATATATCCACAGAGATTTTGGAAGAGGTAGTACGCATCAACGAAGATAGTGATGCATTGCACAAAGATGAACGTTTGTCTATTTTTATGATTTTTATTTTGGGAAAAGAACATTCGCATAAATATGTGAGCCCAAATATAGAGAAAATTCGAAGACCGAAATTTCTAAGATGTGGATAACACGATGCGTCTAAAATTTTAAAGATTTCGACACTTTTTTCCTGCCATGTTTTTAGCGAAAGATCATATTGCAAATCGTACAATTCTGCCTGAGGATGTAGGCTTTGTTCCTCGATTTGCACAGTGAGAAGATTCTCAAAGAGTATTAAATCTTTTCTTAGCATTTCGAAATCACTGAAACGCATATCAAACTGATTTATTAAAGAATCAATAACATTACATTGTTTAACGAAATTACAATTTGTACTGTATTTTTCAAAGAGAATCTGGCAAGAAGGAAAAAAATGAAGAACATTATTTGGTAACTGATTTTTAAAAAATACTATAATAGTTTCCTGCGAAAAGAATCGACATGACTAACTACCTGCGAAATAGTTTGGTTGGTCTTTTGCAGCTTTAAATTTAAAATATTTAAATAATTTGTCATGTTAGTGACTAGAGCAAGCTTGTAAAGCGAGTCTAAATCTTCGAAGAAAGAAATAAAAATTAAATTAAATTAAATTAAGAAATAAAAATTAAATTAAATTTTATTTCTCTTTGAAAAATACGGTACAAATTGTAATTTCGTTAAAGAATATAATGTTATTAATTCTTTAATAAATCAGTTTGATATGCGTTTCAGTGATTTCGAAATGCTAAGAAAAGATTTAATACTCTTTGAGAATCCTCCACTGTGCAAATCGAGGAATAAAGCCTACATCTTCAGGCAGAATTGTGCGATTTGCAATATGATCTTTCGCTAAAAACATGGCAGAAAAAAAGTGTCGAATTCTTTAAAATTTTAGACGCATCATGTTATCCACATCTTAGAAATTTCGGTCTTCGAATTTTCTCTATATTTGGGCTCACATATTTATGCGAATGTTCTTTTTCTAAAATAAAAATCATAAAAATAGACAAACGTTCATCTTTGTGCAATGCATCACTATCTTCGTTGATGCGTACTACCTCTTCCAAAATCTCTGTGGATATATCATTCTTAGTAAAATCGACATATAAACAAGCAAGAAAATCTAATTAATATTTCTATAAAAATTGGCCATTTTGCGCTCTGTACTTATTCTTCCTCTTTCGTTTTTATATTTCTCACAATGTAGCATTTCGCTTTCCTGCTGAGTCGTATATTTCATCTTCATTAATTTGTAGTGGAGTAGGCCTACTGGGGAAACCACTTAAAAAAAAACGCATCAACAATAGTACCTCATGGGTGATGTGGAAATTTATTAACAAAACTTTAATAATTATATTCTTAATTATTGTCATCACTATATTATTATTAAAGAGAATTTATTATATTAGAAATAAAAGCGTAATATTTCATCATTAATGAGAGTAAGAATTATTTTTTAAGGATAAATAAATATTTTAATTTTGGTTTGACGGAGGGTGCGATCTCATCTTATATCGTATATGAGACCGTTCCTGAGGCAGAGTGTCTCACGCGCGATCTGCGGCTCGGCCGCCGCGCTTCTAGAGATAGTGGGGGAAGCGCGGGTGTTGCGCGGGTGTTACCTTTGAAATCGGCTCGCGCTGCTCACTTAATTCCCAGCACTGATATACACTACTTAAAAAAATTATGGCATTAAAAAATATGCGCTGAATATTGCTCAATTTTGAACAATGATTATTTAGCGACAAATGGTCGTAAGACGGTGATTTTCTTTTTAAATTAAAGGTTGAAGTCTCAACTTTAATATGCTTTCGGTTGATTTTAGATCCAATTCGTTTCTACCGCGTGCGATCCCATAATCCAATGGCATGTTTCCGATTTAAAAATTTGCAAACTTTGACAAAACGCACAGCCTTGGATAGCTTTTTTTAAAAATTTTATTTGTGGGAAATGAAAGTTTGATTCTTCCCCTTTAATTTAAAAAGAATTCATGTCTCTACGATTTTTTTTCGCGATCTTGCAGCGTTTTAAAGAAACTTCTACATTTTCTACATTTTACTGGAAATAGGAATTGTGTAGTTTTTTTCTTTTTTTTTTTGGTCACGCAAGGGAAATCCTCATGGATACCCCCGCCCCTTGGGGAGGGCGGGGGTTATGTCGGACTTCTACCGACTAAACCCCTGCGGGGTGCCTACCGCTCGGACCGTGATGGGGGGAGTCAGGGGAACTATGTTTGCATTCCCTCCCCGAGGGTTTGCGTAGCTATGTTCAATAATATTTAGCATTGGCAAATGTCGACTTGGTACTGTCGACTCCGAGGGATCTTCTCGTGGAGTTGTTATCTGTTGTCTTCCCGTCCCTCTCGTGGTTGTAAATTACCCGTTTCCTGAAAATGTAACCAAATTCACAAAACCACGGATTGGTTAATACCGAGTCGTCTCGCCACGTACCTTTGCGAGAAGCCTTCGCTCATAAGCGCAATAATTAGTGCTCGTTGAGCCTGAGACAATGGATGCATGTTTCTTTATCATAAAACATTACCATGAACTACCTTGTTTTACACTTAGTGCAAAAATTCGGTATCCCATAAGGTAATGCCAAAGTTGGCAGTGATTTCCTACAAATCCTACCTTCAATAACGAAAATGTATGGGTTTCTTTAAAATGCTGTAAAATCGCGAAAAACAATCGTAGAAACTTGAGTTTTTTTTTAATGAAATCAAACTTTCATTCCCCGCAAATGAAAATTTAGAAAAAAAATTACCCAAGGCTGTCCGTTTTGTCAAAGTTGCAAATTTTTAAATCAAAAACATGCCATTGAATTATGAGATCGCACACTGAAATAAATTGGATCTAAAATCAATCGAAAACATGTTAAAGTTGAGACTTCAACCTTTAATCAAAAAAAAAAATCATCGTCTTACAACCATTTGTCACTGAGTAATCATTGTTCAAAGTTGAGTAATTTTCAGCAAAAAGTTTTTAAAGCCATAATTTTTTTGAGTAGTGTATAAACTTATATTTCCTATAAAAATATATAAAAGATATAAAATTATAGACTCACTGGAATTAATTCCTAATAAATACATGGCTATCACATGAGTAGAGTTATTCAGTCAGTTGATCCAGCAATTAATACCGGCGCGCGACGAGACGTAGGAGGAATGAAATAAGATCAACGCATAGCCGAATAATAGTACCTTGTATATTCTACATATTTTTATTTTTATAACAGTAACAGAACTATATGAGAACTATGTGAGAAAAGAATGTATTGAATATTGTGGACGCGAACACGTTACTTGCAAACTTGTAGCATGACGTCTAGTTCATTATGCCACCGCCGCTGCTTGACAAACATTTTAATGCAGCAGCACTAATGGAGCATATTAAACTTCAAGCCGCGATTTCTCAAAAACACTTGGGAGGCGTATCGTCTCTAGTGATATTTAATATTTATATATGTACTTATATGAGAGTTGTATGATAAGTATCCGTGTTTCACGACAGATACTGCCACTGATGCAAATCTGTATACTATCATGTAACGCCATCTTTCAAACGATGCTTGTCAATTTCAAACAGATTTATTGAATAATTTTATTTTGATAACTGTTAAAAGTGGGTAAAAGTTCGTGTTTATTTGCAACCATGGAAAAAGAGCAATATCGGTCAATGATTCGATTCCTTTTTTTTGGAAAGACATGTGAGGAAATCAAAGTGAAGTTGCATGCTGTTTATAAGGACTATGCATCTTCGATTACTATCAGATATTAGTTTAATGAATTCAAGTGTGGCCGAACATCTGTTTTTGATGAAGAGCGCCCAGGCCGTCCGATTGAGGTGACTATGGAGAATATAATCAACAAAATCCATGATATCGTTAGCAAACCGCCGGGTGAATATCATAGAAATCGCTGACATTTTAAACATCTCAATGGAACGCGTATTCTACACGAAAAATATCCTACACAAAAAATTGGGCATGAGAAAGCTATCGGCGAGATGGGTGCCGCGTTTGCTTATAGTAGAGCAAAAACGGAATCGCGTGACAACTTCGGGGCACTGTTTGAACATGTTTAAGCGCAATCCGAAAGATTTTTTGCAGCGTTTCGTGACTGTTGATGAAATATGAATCACTACACGCCAGAAATGAAAGAACAGTCAAAACTGTCCAAGTGGACTTCACCCGGCGAATCTTCTCTAAAAAAGACGAAACGGTTCCATCGGCTGGAAAGGTCATGACCACCGTTTTTGGGACTCGCAAGGCATCATCTTCACCAACTATTTGGAGGAG